TAGCCCTTCCATGTGCCCATGGCAGTGGTGATGGTGGAAGGATGGCTGTAGCTGGCATGCACCCATGGTGGCACAGCAGGAACTCCACCCTTCCCCCCAGTACCTTAAAAAATTAGGCAGCCATGCTGGCATCCTGGTATAGCAATTGAACACGGAATTGGCATTAAGCAGGCCCACAATGCCTGCCAGCTTTTGGCTGCTTTTCTCCCAGCAGTTTAACACCTGCCTAGATACAATGTAACTAAGCTAGGTACTTGCTTACATCTGGGGAATGAATCTTTCTAAAAAAATTTTTTTTTCAGGGAAAAGAAACATGTTTGTATTTCAATTTTACCCAAATAAATTTGTAACTCAATTTCTGCTAACTTTTGGAAATACCCTCAGGTGCATAAATTACTCAGTGTTGATGTATCATATCAAAAGACAATCCTAAAAGCAAATGTTGAATTTTTGAAAATTTATCTATTTTTATTGGAAAGATAGAAGTACAGAGAGCAGAGACAGATTTTTCCATCCACTGTTTCACTCCCCAAATAGCCACAACTACCAGAGCTGAGCCAACCCGAAGCCAGGAGCCAGGAGTTTCTTCCAGGTCTCCCACACGGGTGCAGGGTCCCAAGGCTTTGGGCCACACTCTGCTGCTTTCCCAGGCCACAGTTGGGGAGCTGAATGGGAAGTGTAACAGCTAAAACATAAACCAGCTCAGCTCTGGATCAGCTCAGCTCTGACCGTTGCAGCCATTTGGGGAGAGAACCAGCAGATGGAGGATCTGTCTCTCTTGTTCCTTTTTTTTTTTTTTTCATAAATCTGTTAAAACTATCCAATTAAAATAGATTTTTTTTTGTTTAATGTGGTTATCCCAAGACCATGTAGCTTATCTCTTCTGTTTATTTCTAGAATCTCTGCCGTCTTGCCGTTCACATTTAGGTTGTGACCCATTTGGAATTGTTTCTGTAAAGTAAGAATACATTTTCTCATACAGTGTTAAGGGACTTGTGTCTGTTAATAAGCTGAATTAGCCTGCAATCTTCCTTTGTTTTTTGTTTCTGGATTTTTGTAGAATAGTTATGTTGCCCCTTTTTCTATTCACTTGTAGAATTTTGTAAGTTTGACATTATTTATTCTCTAAATTTTGGAATAATTTACTAGTAAAATCCATCTGAATTCAGTGGGCTTTTTTTTTTTTTTTTTGAGGTTTTTGTGGATTCCGTTTCCTTAAGGGATATAAACCTATTCAAAAATTCTATTTCCTGTTTTGGTGAGATGTGGCTTTGCTAGGTATTTGTCTCCTTTATCCAAATTTTCAAATTTATTGGTATCAAATTGTTCCTATTGTCTTTATTATCTGTAAGATCTGTTGTAACCTTTTCTCCCTAGTGTAATAATTCAGTCTATTCAAATTCATCTTTTGGAATTTTAAGTTGCTCATTATTTCATTGATTTTTTTTTTCATCATGGTGTTGTCTCCTTCTAGATTTTAAAATATATTTGCTCTTTTTATAATTTCTTGATACAGTTGATCCTGAACATTTCTTTTAAAGATTTATTTGGTTTACTTGGAAGCCGGAGCCTCTGGAGGCACTGCAATTACTAATCAGAACTTTGACATGTTGTGCTGTCAAAATTCAGTTGAAATATTTTCTGATACACAGTTGTTTTTCTCTTGCTATAAAGAAGATATTATTCAGTATGAAAAGTACTTACATATTTATATGTATTATGATACATAAATGTTTCATCTCTAGAACCAGTCTTGTTTTTCCTTGTTTATTTTTACTTGAAGGAGGCTGTGTTTATTTTAAGAATGTATTACCTTCTCAGATCTCTCTGCTGATACATTTGTGGTTTGATTTTTGTTGTTCTTGTTTTTTTGAATTAACTATATTTAGGGGTACCAAAAGGGAGTGCGGAATCAGTTGTTTAGCGACTTTCATGTTGTTGGTTGTCTCCAGTGCCAGGTGATGTGTGTTTGTGTGCTCACCTTTTAAAACTTGGAGTCTAGCTCGATCATTACTGGTAGCTGATAGTGATTTCCAGACATGTTATTGGCTCCCGCTGCTTCATCTGGGAGGAGCTCAGCTCCACCCCTAGTGATTGAGCACAGGGCTGGGCAGATGCATTCTGTTGGCTGATGACTAGCCCACCAGTAGGATTTGTTTCCTGGTGTATGAGCCAGGAAGCTGGGAAGGCTTTCCAACAGAGATCAAGGCAGGCAGTTTTGTTCTTAGTTTCTTTGCATCCTCCCCATGCCCGCAGTGGGGCTGCAAGAATTGCCTGTGTCCTCTCTGATCCAGGGTGTGGCCTTCCATAGCTTAATATGGCTGCACTCCCCAGCTCCTGTGCTGTCTGTGTGGAGAGTGGAGTCATTCCTGCGATCCTACAACCTCAACCTTGTAGTGTGTTCGCTCTGTATGCCCAGCTAGTCCTGACTTTGAGCAAAGAGTTTGTCCTGTCGACTAGTGAAAGAAAAAATGTCAAGCCCTTCTTTAGTAGTCTGGCGGGCCCCACCCTTTTTCAGTTGTAAGTTGTAAGTTATTTTTGCATGTTCTTCCATTGATACTGTCTCCTAAAATTTGCTCAGCTTCATATCACTATAACTTCTTCTACCTCTGAACTCTAAAAGTAGTTTATGAGATATTTAATCATCACAGTCATAAAAGGAACATACTCCATTTGATCATTTACACTTGATTTCTTCCCCGTTATATAGACATATGAGCATCCTTGTTTCACTACGTGGTAGAGTTTTGGTTTTAATTTTCAACACACAGTGTCTCTGCCTTTTGTTAAAAATTGAGTAAAAATGAAATTATTTAAGAGCAGGTAATTGTTTAATGTAATAATTCCATTTAAACATCCTATCTAAAAGTGTAGTTGTCATTTAAATAAATCAGATTTAGTTGTTCTTACTGAATAATCTGAATACATTTATATGGGACAGAGATATTTTTCATCAGCACAAGGAGCTAATGTATAAACTATATTCTCTGAAAAGATGTATTTATTTTGAGAAGCACAGAGAGAAAGGTAGCCAACAGATAGGAACTGCCAGCCATGGTCTGAGTTCCCTGTGTCTGTGACAGCTGGGGCCAGTCTGTTTGCTGAAGCTAGAGCGGAGAACTCAGTTCAAGTCTGGCAAGAACCCACTGTTGCTGCTTCGCAGAGTCTGTCTTGGCAGGAAGCTAGTGTCAGGAAGCAGAGTTCTGCACCAAAACCAAGGACTCCGATGTAGCCTACAGGTGTCTTAATTAGCATCTGAAGTGCTAGACTGAATGCTCACTCCTAAATTGTGTTATTTAATAAGAATATTCCCTGTAATATCTTCACTGAAGTGACTAGAGTATAGTGACATCTATACCCGGTCTAATATCTAGCACTACCCATGACTTATTAACCCCATGACTTGATCAGCCAGTGCTTGGCAGATAAGGTACTATTTCTGTGAAATGAATGAAGCTATGAAGTTAACAGGTTCCTCAAATGTAGGTGGACATGAAATTGCTAACACATTACAGATAATTTATGTAAAATCTCTTGATATATAGTAGACAACTAGTGCTAGATGTGATAAGTTTTTAGAATCCTTTCATTGCTATCAAGCAAGTCAAATAAAGGAGTTATTTATGTTTGTGGAGGATAGTGAGAGGATTCAGTGTTGCCAGCATTGTTTGGGGCTCCCTTGCGATAACACATTCACTCCAGTGCACTATGCGTTCATCCATTCTTGGAGGATCAAGATTTAAAAGGGGAAGATGCAGTCTCACGGAGCCCGCCAACTGACTGAAAAATCTTCCACACACCATTAGGTCACACTCCTACAAGACAATGAAGGAGAGAATAAGGAAGTTGGATTAGTGTGGGGAAGAGTATGGAGTGAACTGGGGTTTGAAAATGATTGTACTTTGATTGGCAGAAAGCCCGTGGGCAGATTTCTCGCACTGTTTGGGGAAGGTGTGGTGTGGGTGGCTGTTCTGACTGTGTGGATACTAGGGACAACAGGAGACTGGCAGTTTGCTATACAGTTATTCCAAAGCAGGAGCAATGAAAGAGGAGGTGGGTTTTTTGGTGAATGGAGATTCATTCGTAGCTCACCGTGACAGTTGCATTACATTTTCATTTGACTTCTTGGAGGCCTAGCCGTTGAGTGCCTTGTTTGAATACAGAAACACTACAGAGAGGGTGAGAACCACTGGGTAAAGTGCGTGCTGGTCATGTTTTATGAAGTAATCATAGAATTACTTGATTTTAGCAGATCATAGAGTAGTAAGAAAGACCAGCTAAGGTTTGAGGACTTGCTTATCTCTTTGGCAACTAGCATGTAAATTGGATACACTGAGGCAGTCTGGTTTTCATCTGAAGTCATCTGGGCAATTTAAAATATGATTCCTCTCTGAGAAATTGTGAGCCCTTCTGGAGTCTTCCTTTTTTCCCCCTGAATCTTCCAATTAGCTCCAAGTGATTGGGTGGGTTATAGGGTCAGGGCTTTCATATTTTTCTTTATTAATGTATGAAAAATTAAAGAAAAGGCTAATGTTGCTTCATTTAAGAATGCTCATGATAGCACACAACAGCATTGTGCTTGTATATTGCCAAGAAGTGGCAGCTCTGGGCAGGCGGTGGAAGATTAATTTTCTCCCTGCTTCTTTCCTCCCATATATCTTGTTGTTCTTAGCAAGAAATGCTGAATTTTCTTTCCAGTGAGACATTTGGATAGAACATTTTCTGCTTTTCAGCATTCATTTCCCCCTCTTATGTTTGGAATGTCTGTACTACTACATCAGTTAATATTTATGGCAAACAGTGATGATTAAAGGAAAGTCGCAGCATTGATTCCATGCTACAACTTCATGTATTCTAATGTATGTATTACTTGGTAGAAATTCCATTTTAAATGCATTAAATTTCAGGAATTCTCAGTTACTTAACATGATCCCAAGATGTAATTGTCTGAAGAAGACAATGGCACATTATTTTAATGTTTTTATTGTTTTTATTTCTAGCTTATTCTACTAAGCTGAACAAATTTCCTGTATTTAATATTAATGATGACTTGAATGATCTGTGTACCAGTGCAGTAAGCCCCAATACCACCAAAGCCACGCGGTACGCCCTCAATGTGTGGCGATACTGGTGTATGACCAACGGGCTCAAAGACCACACGGACATCACCAAGGTAAGGTGCTCATGCGTTTGCTTCTTCTTTTATCAAGCTTCTCTGAGCTTTCAAGTGCCAGGCACTGTGTTAAGCACTGAGAGGAACCCAACACAGTAGCTTGCTGCTACTGGAAAAACTTCCAAAGAGTATAAACTAGAAAGAATGATATTCCTAGTAAAGAGCAGAATTGAGTAGATGTTTTGTTAGTTTGTAGATCAGAAGCACCTGAAAATTCAGATGGACAAATTCAAGAGAAAACTGATATTTGGGCCATATTTTGGGGAGAGCAGCAGGATGCCAGTAGAATTAGTTGGAGAGTCTTCTAAGCTGAGTGACCTGAAGAAAAGTGCGGTTTGGGCAGAAAGTCTCACTTGCCTATGACACAAGCTTTCTGTATGTCACTGGGTCACTAGGCTGTCAAAGCAGGTTTTGATGATGCTCATGTAGCTGGTTAAAAGCCTTGTAACACAGGTGAAAGACAAGTCTCTTGTTTTTATTTAGCATGCTTAGTCCTTCCATTTCCCTCCTGGAAAGTGAACTCTTAAGATTCCCTCTAACTTGAAATATTTGAGTTATTTTAATAGGACAAATCTTGGACATGTGGAAACAGAAGAGAAAGATATTATGTTTTGATTTGGGTATATTGAATCTAAATCAGATTCCAGGTGGACATGTACAATGAGTGGTTGGGAATGTGGGATTTTAATAAAAAGTTTGTTTGCAGTGCAGAAGCTTCTTAACTTGGTGTAATCCCATTTGTCTATCTTTTTATTTGATTGCTTGTGCTTTTGCAGATTTTTCCAATAAGTTATTGCCTACACCAATGTTATACAATGTTTCCCCAATCATTTCCTCTAGTAATTTGATGGTATGAGGTGATGGATTTAAATTCTTGATCCATTTAAAGTTGGGCCTTATGTATGAGATATAAGGTAAATGTATTGTTTCATACTTCTGCACACATAGGTACAATTTTCCCAACACCGTTTGTTAAACAGACTGTCCTTTCTCTAGGGATTGATTTCAGATAATTTGTCGAAGATTAGTTGGCGATAGATGCATAAATTAATTTCTGATCTACATGACTGCTTTGTGCCATACCAGGCTGTTGATTTTAAAGTGTGGTATTATGATTACTCTGGGTTTAATTTACTTATTTTTTTAAGATTGCTTTAGCTAACTGGGTCTTCTGTGTTTCCATATGAGATTTTAGCATTGTTTTTTTCCAAGATCTAAGAAAAATGACTTAGCTATTTTGTTTTTATTGGGATCACATTGAATCTGTAAATTACTTTCAGTAGTATGGACATTTTCATATTAATTCTTCCAATCCATGAACCTGTTAGATTTTTTTCATTGTTTTTTGTCTTCTTTTATTTCTTTCCTTAATGTTTTATAATTTTCATTGTGGATATCTTTGATATCCTTGGTTAAATTTATTCCAAGATGTTTAAGATTTTTTAATAGCTATTGTGAATTACAATGTCTTTATCAGCTACGCATTGTCTTTGTATACAAAGGCTATTGATTTTTATGTGTTAATTTTATAACCTGCAATTTTGCCAAACTCTATGAATTCCAGTAGTTTCTTAGTGGAGTATTTTCAGTCCTCTGTATACAGAATCATTTCATCAGCAAACAAGAATAACTTGACTCCTCCATTCTAGATTGTATCCCTTTGGTTTCTTTTTCACGCCTAATATCTGTGGCTAAAATTTTCATCACTATATTGAATAGCAACAGTGAAAGTGGGCATACTGGTTCCAGGTCTCAACAAAGTGAAGAGGCAACAACAGAATGGGAGAAAATATTTGCAAATTATGCAGTGATAAAGGATTAATATCCAGAATCTATAAAGAGCTCAATAAACTTAATAGCAACAAAAACAACAAATCCAGTTAAGAAATGGGCAAAGAACATGAACAGGCACTTTTCAAAGAACGAGATATAAATGATGAACAGATACAAGAAAAAATGTTCAAAATCACTCACCATCAGGGAAATACCAATAAAAAACACAATAAGGATTTTCCTCACCCGAGTTGGAATGGCAGTCATCCAAACGTCAGAAAACAATAAATGCTGGTGAAGACATGGAGCATGTTACCCATGTTGACTAGTTTACCTTGTAAATTAGTAAAACCATTATGGAAGACCGTATGGAGATTCCTCAGAAATTGAAAAAAAAAATCTACCATATTAACCAGCCATTCCACTCCTGGAAATTTACTGAAATGAAATGAAGTCAGCATATGAGAGAGTTATTTGTAACCCCCCCTCATGTTTATTGCAGCTCAATTCACATTAGCTAAGATATGGAATCAACCAAGATGTCCAACAAATGATGCCTGCATAAAGAAAATTTGATTGATGTATGTGTATATATATATACATATATATATACACACACATACATAATACATACATATTATGGAATACTACCCAGCTATAAAAAGAATGAAGTTCTGTCTTTTGCAACAAAATGGATACAACTGGAAACCATTGTGCTTAGTGAAATAAGCCAGTCTCAATAGACAAATATATTCTCTAATGTGCAGCAGCTAATGCATAATACCAAAAAAATGTGTAGGAATGAAATGATTACTTTGGGAAAGATTTTTTTAAATTATTTTTATTGGAAAGTCAGATTTACAGAGAGAAGGAGAAAAAAAGAAAAATCTTCCATCCACATGCTCACTCCCAAGTGAACACAATGGCCAGAGCTGAGCCAATCTGAAGCCAGGAACCAGGAGCTTCTTTTGGGCCTTCTACATGGCTGCAGGGTCCCTAGGCTTTGGGCTGTCCTCAGCTGCTTTTCCAGACCATAACCAGGAAGCTAGAATGGAAGTAGAGCAGCGGGGACATAAACTGGCACCCATATGGGATCCCAGCAGTTGCAAAGCAAGGATTTAGTCATTAGGCTATCACGCCAGGCCCATGATTATTGGTTTTACTCTGGTTTTAGTGTGGTCTAACTAATTTTTACTTGTTGAACATTATAATTAGTGGTGAATTAAACTTGTGAATATAAAGTATTTTGCAAACACCAATCAAGAGAGAGGAGAGATCAAGGAACATTTAAGGGAACAGGAGAATGAGGAAGTTCACCAAGTCTGTTTTCTTTATATTCACAAAATGTTTTTTTTTTTTTATTTATCCAAAATGCAGAGGTATGAGAGGGTGAAAGAAAGAAAAGTCTTCTGTCTGCTGATTTACTTCCAGAATGGCCACAATAGCCAGGCTGGGCCAGACTGAAACGATTAAGAGTTTCTTGCAGGTCTCCCACATGAGTTTAGGTACTCAAACTCTTCGGCCTTCCACCACTACTTGTTAGCAGGGAGCTAGATTGGAAGTGGAGCAACTGCGACTCCAACTGTGCCCTTATGGGATGCCGGCACTGCAGACAGTGACTTAACCCACTATGCCAGAGTGCTGGCTCCTGTCTTTTTGTTTTTATCTACCTAAAAGGCAGAGTGATGGAGAGAGAGATGTCTCCTGTCGTGGTTCACACTGCCTCCAAATGCCCACAATAGCCAGGGCTGGATCAGGCCAGGGATAGAGTCCTAGAATTCTATCTGGATTTCCCACAAGAGTGGCAGGGGCCCAACAACTTGAGCAAGAACTTGGTTCCGCCAAGGTAGATTAGCATGAAGCTGAATGAGACGTAGATTAGCCAAGATTCAAACCAGTACTCCACCATGGGCTGCAGGAGTCCCAAACCATGGCCTAACCAGCTGCACCACAGTGTCAGCCTTGCAAACGTGGGATGTTAAAGATGGGATGGAGAAGTTAAAGCTCAAACTACAGAGTTAGAGGTCTTGAAAATAGAGGTCATGCCCGGCGCAGTGGTCTAGCAACTAAAGGCCTTGCCTTGACCATGCTGGGATCCCATATGGCACTAGTTCTAATCCCAGCAGCCCCACTTCCCATCCAGCTCCCTGCCCATGGCCTGGGAAAGCAGTCGAGGATGGCCCAAAGCCTTGGAACCCTGCACCCATGTGGGAGACCTGGAGGAAGTTCCTGGCTCCTGGCTTCAGATTGGCGCAGCTCTAGCTGTTGTAGCCACTTGGGGAGTGAATCAACAGATGGAAGATCTTCCTCTCTGTCTCTCCTCCTCTCTGTATATCTGACTTTGCAATAAAAATAAAATAAATCTTTTAAAAAGAACAAAACAGAGGTGATATTGAAGTCAAAGGGTGGATGAGGTGTCAGAGTTTGGGTAATGCACACAAGTAGTCAACAAGAGATGAAACACGGATGATGGAGATCCAGGTACTAATGTCACCACCTGCTGGTTCCCAGGGTGCACATTAGCAGAAAGCTAGAATTAAGCTTGAGCCAGGATTCCAACCCAGGTTCTCAAGCGTAGGATGTCGGTATCCCAAGGCATCTTAAACACTATGCCAATCAATGCCTATTCTTAAACCCTGAGAGAGAGTGTGTGTGTTACTTTAATTTTCTTTAAAAGATAATTCGCTTTTGAAATAAAACAATAATAATATACAAAAGGAGAATAAAATATTAAAGAACTTCTCATTAGATACTGTGAAAGTCATAAGACAATGAAATAACATCTTTAATGAGCTGGCTGAAAATATAACTGCCAATCTAGAATTTTATACTCAGAGGAAATAAAAGTGAAGGCAAAATAAAGACCATTTCAGACAAGACAAATGGGACAGAATTAATCACTGAAAAAAAACTACACAACAATAAATGTTACAGAGAGTGTAAGCAAAATTATGCCAAATAGAAACTTGTGCTTCGCAAAGGAATGGAAAATATTTGAAGTGGTACAAAGAGACATTTTTCTCATTTTAATTTCTCTTAAAGATAATTAACTGCTTAAAACAAAATCTGTAAATATATTTTAAGATTTTTTGGTTATCTGTGGAAGAGAAAAAACATAACAATAATACAAAGGATAGGTAGAAAAATGATAGTGTAATATTGTAAAAGAAAAAGAGAAAATGTAATATTTTAAGTTTCCAATAATATATTAAAAGTTAGATAGTATT